TTGTTTTTTTGCTGAAGTGTTTGAAAGTAAATTAATATGTTGTGACATTCTAACCCTAATGCATCATAAGATTTCTTCTTCAAGTAAGGCTATTTGTTCATCTTGAAATACAGTTCTTAGAGGAAGGGCAAGCTGACTTTAATTCGTCCCTCTAATTATGAATTTTCTGAGTAAGGCATTAGCTCGATAGCGCCCCCCAGCGGTGGAAACGAGCTCTGTGAACACAGGTTCTCACAGAATTGAGGCATCTCTTTCAGGCGTCTCTTTCCTGATACCATTATTGTAAGGAAAGATGTGACAAAACCCTTTCTCACTTCTGACGGACACATTCAACCTTGAGTTAACTTTCTAGTGCTGGTCCCTAGAAAGACACAAAGGTGAACTATCAGCCATGTTGCCAGGCAACATTGCTTACAGGCAGGCGACCCTGAATGGGAAACTGAGCCAGGCTGGAGGACAGGAGTGAGTGGTGAATGTGCAGAGGGAGCCCCCACAGTGGCCCTCCCGAGTGAACGGGCCTTGGCCTGCACCCAGCACACTATTCCCCGCCAGGCCTGCTGGGTGTCCTCCCCACATCCGCCCAGCCTCTCTGGCCCCACAGCTCAGATCCCAAGAGAGGCATCAAGGGCCATCCCGGCGCCATGAGAACAGCCCCTGTGTCTACACCTGCCCCTGCGCCTGTGAGAGTCGCTCCTGTGGCTGGGACACAGGCCACCCACCAGCACGGAAATGACCTTCCCAGGCTGGAAATAAAAGCAAGAAGAGGACAGAGGTTAGTGAAAAGGACAGAACTCTGGCTCAGTGTGGCAGGGAAAATCGGGCCTCAAAGGCCTTCAGGGAAGGGGGCTTCTGCCCAGCCATGCAGTGATGGGAGCGGCCCTGGGTGGCCCACCTCAGGGCAGGGTCAGTGCAGACAATGTCAGCCACGGAAGGTGGAATGGACTCAGTGAATCGCCAGGTCAGGCAGCTCTGCAGGCCCATGGACCCCTCTCCTGTTCTGAGCATGCAGTGTAGACTCATCCGTGAGGTGTGGACTGAGGTCTCCTGGGAGGGCCTCGGCCATGCCACCCTGGGAATTGATTCCATGGGATTAGGAATCTCCCCCTTCGGGTTCCTCCTCCGGCTGAGGACACTCCCTGAGAAGAACCTGATAGAGACTGATTCACACCAAGCTCGGCTGCCACATCCCTGCAGGCAGGAAGCCTCTGAGCCAAAGTGAGAGGGTGCGGGGGGCTGGAGGCAGTAAACGGGATGTGGAAAGTGGCCGCAGGCACAGCCAGGGGAAGGATCACAGTCCCACCACTCGGGTGTGCCACCACACCGCGTCTCCTGCCAAAGCCGGAGAAATGGAAAAGGTGCCATGTGCCTGCACCAAGTGAGGCTGGTGCCCACCTGCGCAGACAGAACCTGGGTCTGAGAATCTTCAGGTGTTTGGGGCTCAGGAAATCTTCGCCTTTTCACAGCATCCCTCTTCCCCGTCAGGCATAGGAGGTGCAAACCCAGTCCCTGCAGCACGGGCTCCCACGCAAGCCGCTGTCCCTCAGGGAAGGGACGCCCCAGGCTGGGGAAGGGCTGGAGAACTAGTGTCTCCTGACTTCTGCACATCCCCAGTCTCCAGCACCCAAGTCTGCTGAGGACCTCAGGCCAGGCCCGTTCGATCAGTAACATGGTCATCATAGTAGCACTGACTGGGAGGCGACCACCACCAGGCGCACTGTCTGCATCCCTTGCACCCACTAGGGAGGTGCTGCTGTCAGCCCATCTCACCAACAACATGCCTGAGGACTCTCATGCAGTGTACACACCAGCAATGTGCAAGCTGGGCTGGAGCCAGGCTCCATCTGCTCCCCAAACCACCCTTCAAACGGCAAGCTTCCTTGCTGGTCTTGCCTGTCTGAACCGACATGTCCCTTGTGCTCAGAAAAAGGTTCTGCAGGTTTGAAGCCAGTGGCCAGGAGCTGCTTGGGTTGTGTCTGCTCAGAACCCAGGCCCCTTCCAGGGCATCCCTGGCACTGCCAGCCACTACCATCTGACCAGCATGAAACCTTCCTGGTGCCATGAGGAGGGCATGGAGGTGGGGGGAGGGGTCCATGACCTCATAGGCCAGCATGAGTCTCTGACCCAGCTGAGGGTCCCCAGCCCAGAAGACCCAAGACCCTACAGTCCCTTCTACCCAGCTGCTCTCAGAATTCAAGAGTCACACAATGGAGGGCTGCTCAGCCGTCAGAAGGAACGAGCCACTGATTGATACATGTGACCCCAGGGTGGATCTCCTGCGCATCATGCCAAGTGACTGAAGTCAGAACCAGAAGGTGGCATATTGTATGACTCCATTTGCGTGACATTCTGGAAAAAGCTGTAGGGACAGAAAATATGTCTGTGGCTGCCGGGGGTGGGGAGGGAGGGACCCCAGAGGGGCAGAGAGAGAGATTTGGAGTGAGGAGCTGCTCTGCACCTTGACTGTGGACGCAGGTGGCTGCTCCATGTCACAGTCCATAAAAGTGAACTTACCGTGTGTAAATTCAAAGTCCATTGTAAAACTCTCAGAGCAGAGCGCACAGGCCACAGCAGCACCGTCCCCCACGGTCACAGCCTCTGCACGCTGGGCAGGACTCTGCAGCAGAACCTCGTCCTTCCTCTCTCCTTTCCCTTCTATTTTTGTCCTGCATATAGAGCTTTTCTCTAAATTTCAATTTAGAGTCTGTTTAAGGCAAGTGTTTAGTCTGGGGATGTTTCACCTTAAAGAACGTTTTCAGAT